CAGCCCCTCAAATACTGGGATACTGCTGTCATTTCACTATCCTATACATTTGCGTGTAACTTTCTCTCTTCCTAAATGAATGACTTTTTATTGGTCTGCAGCACATGTCTTTTCCTTTTTAATTCCACATCTGTAACCTAGCAAGAACTGTTTAAATGTTTCTGAATTTCAGAGGATTAGTTATTTCACTTATTTATATGATATCTGTAACTCCCCCAATGTCTTGCTCCATTTATGAAAAGGTGGAAGCGTACAAATATTGAAGGGTGGTGCCCTATTTGATACCTTGCTCCAATTAGAGGAGTTATTGATGACTCTGAATTCTGTTTCTAAGCTAGTGTGGATCCATCTAATAGCCATGCCATCCTGCTTCATACGAAACTAACTTACTAATCAGACTGTGTTGCAGGACTTTGGCAAATATTTTGCTGCATTTGCAACAAATATATGTCACAAAAGTCTATGTTATCAAATGTCATATGAAACAGAACTCTTTGTTTTAGTGTAATGCTTATTTATCTATCTCTTTGAAATTTGTCTTAGCCTTACTAACATATAAGGCCTTTTGAACTGACTTCTCTGAGTGACCCAAACCCATCACGTAGTCTAATTCTTTGCCTGAGTCATTATAGTGTGTCAGAAGAAAAAGCATCTAAATTGAATTTAGCTGTGATTAAAAGTGGTAAGGCTGTGGAATTTTTACATACTCATTACTGCAGACATTTCATGATGAGTTATCTTAAAATGCTATGGTGCTATCTAACAGGAGAAGGAATAAAATTTTGAAAAATACTTTTTTCTCTCTCTTGTGGTTTGGCCTTAGCTTTTAACATAATATTTCGAGTACTAAAATGCATCTCTCAAGAAATGTGTAAAAATTGCCTTGTAATAATAAGTTAATGGAGCTTAATTGTGATGGTTTACAAATGTGAGTAAAGAATTACTACACTAACGAACATTTTTGGGGATATAAATTTTGTTCTCTCTATATATACATGAACCTTTGTTTCTGCAAAATTTTAAGACTTAACTGATTCAGCAATTTGGGGCAGACTGAATTGTAATTCTGCTCTTGATATATGTCATCTGCAACATTGTAATTGATTTTGGGTTTTTTCCCCCAAAGTGGGGGCTTGGTAGTTCTTTGTTACTGATTCCATTATTTATTTTTAAACATTTAGGATGTGTAAGATGCCTAAAATTGTAGCTATTTTGAGCAGCCTGTATATTTGATAAAACTAATTCTACTTTATTGAAATCTACCTTGACAGATTCTTGCAAGTCTGAAAGTACAGTTCTCTTGATGTTACATTTTTAGCCCTATACTTTAGGTAGGGCCATTCCTGAGCCTCTTGCTCTCCCCACTATGTAGCTGCATAGTGCAGCTGCACTATGCTATGTCTTATCTGACTGTTCCCTAAGCGGCATGTCTTCGCCTCTTCTCCCAAAGTCTTTCCTACATGCTGTTACAGGTTTCTCTTGCATTGGCAAATGACAGTGTCCATGAAACAATAATCAGCAGAACACTAAACAACAGTGGTGTGCATGGCAGGATTGCCACGACTCTTGAAAAAGAACATGGCTACCCAACTATAGCATGTAAAAAAACCACACAAATTAGCCAGAAAGCTATCGGAAGACTGTTCTGTGGGCAGACAAAACTAAAATAGAACTTTTGGGGTTGATTGGCAAAAGGCAAACACTCTATCCCAGCTTAATAACCTTATCTCATCTATGAGACATGGTGGCTATATCATGGTTTGGGGCTGCTTTGCTGTATCTGGTCCAAGACAGCTTGCCATTATTGATGGAACTATGAAATTTGAATCATACCAGCAAATTCTACAGGAAATTATTAAGCTACCTGTCCATTAATGGAAGGTCAAGAGAAAATGGTCATGCAGCAGGACAAGGATCCAAAACACACAGGTTGTATGACCAAAGAATGGTTAAAGTAGAAGAAAGTTAATGTTTTGGAATGGCCAAGTCAAAGTCCTGATCTTAGCCTTATAGAAATGTAGAGGAACCTGAAGAAGGAAGTTCATGTGAGGATGGCCCAGCAACAAGCAACATCTCTAAGTTGAAGCTATACTGCAAGGATCAATGGGCTAAAATTCCTCCAAGCTGATGTGCAGGATGGATCAGTCACAGTTGTTGTGGCCCAAGGCAGGCACATCAGTTACTGTAAGCGAAAGTTTACATGTTGTTTGTCACACATCACTATGGAGAGTTTGGATTATTTTCTTCAGTAAATTGAGAAACAAATATAATGTTTTTGACTCATTTGTTTAATTGGGTTCTCTATTAGGTTTTAGGAGTTGTATGGAGAACAGATCACGTCTGAAGTCATATTTATGCAAAAGTATTGAAAATTCAAAAGGGTCCACAAACTTTTTGTAATTCCATGATAAGTGGAATTATTGGATGCAGTTCTGATAGCAAATAAATGATTGGAAGGAATGTGATGATGATGATGATGATATTCAAATATTTTGAATGAGGTGTCAGCAGTCTTACATCATATATTATTTTAAATAGTTATCATTTTCTCCCTTTGGTTTGCTTTTAATCAACAGATAGATGTATTTTAGAAAAAAAGGCAGGCATGAATAAGTTGTACTTTCACGCTGTAGTTCACCCTTGATGCCAATATCTGAAGTAACTTTAGAAGTTACTTTTATGATTATGAAATTGATTTTACTACTGGGCAACTGAATTTGAGTAAGTTAATCTAATCTAATCTACTGCCTGCTGACGGGTCTTGTTATTTGTCAAAATGCTATCCATATTGACCAGAATCATAGAGTTGGAAGGGATCTTTGAAGTCTTCTAGTCCAACCTCCTGCCCAAGTTAGGAGTCCAACCAAATGGTTGTCCAATTTTTTTTTTGAAAACCTCCAATAATGGAGCACCCACAACTCTGGGAGGCAAATGATTCCACTGCTTAATAGTTTACTTTCAGGAAATTCAATCTTACAGATAGCCTTAGATTTACAGCCATTTGTTCAATGACTGTTCAAAGTTACAACGGTACTAGAAAAAGTGACTTATGACCAGTTTTCATACATGATCATTGCAGCATCCCCAAGGTCACGTGATCAAATTTGAACGCTTGGCAATCAGCATGTATTTATGATAGTTGCAGCATCCCAGGATCCTGGGACTGTCATTTGCTACTTAGGGCAAAGTTCTCCAACCTTTCTGGGCTCATGGCCTGAAGGGGAGAACAGCTTCCAAATTACTGTGTGTGCAAGGGCACGCACACAAATGGGGTCACGCCCACTGGGGCAGTACTAGCAGCAGCGTTTGCGCATGTGGCCTCGCTGGCACCATGCTCATGCACAAATAGTTGTGCACCTCCACGGCAGCCAGTGCCCATTCATGCATGCACAAATGGGCTATGCACACACACCACACTAGTGGCCCATTCAAGCATGCACAAACGGTGTACACACTCCTACACGCTACTGTTCCCATTCACGCCCCTACGCTTGTACAAATGGCCGTAGGCACAAACGCAAGGAGGGAATGCATGCCCAAGTGTGTGCACCCTGGCCGGTCATTTCTGCTGCCCACTGGCCAAGAGCCTGTGGCCTGGCATCGGGCTGCGGCCCATAGGTTGGGGACCTCTGACTTGGGGAGCTTCTGACATACCAAGTCAGTGGGGGAATCCAGATTGACTTAATGACTGCATGATTCACTTAATAACCAGCGATTCTCTTAACCATGACAAAATAAAATGGGACATGACTCACTTAATAATTGTCATGCTTAGCAATGGAAATTTGGGCTCAATTGTAGTTGTAAGTTGAGGACTACCTGTATTTCGAGGTTGGGCTCCCGTTTGATGAGCTTCTTCTCATTGCTTCTAGTCCTACCTTTATGTACTATGAAGAATAAATCAACACCCTCTTCCATATGGCAGCCCTTCAATAATTGGAAGATAGCTATCATATATCTCCCTGAGTCTTCTTTTCATTAAGCTAAACATCTTACTTCCTTTAGCTATTCTTAGGATTTATCCTCCAGACCCCTTGTCATCTTTATTGCTTTTCTGTGCACTTGTTCTAGGGTCCAGATGCTATATTGATGCCCTGACTATCTGAAATAAGGTGAATTATAAAACAAGTAATTACTTTCAATTATCCATATCAACAGATGGACATAAACTCTAAGGCAGTATAGACCTTTGAGCGTAGTTAAATATTTAAAAGAGATACAAGATGTTGCTGAATATATACAAATATATTTTCATCATAAAATGGTCTACAGTTTTAAATGTTTTTCAAATGCAATTAAATGAGTCACTGACATTGAGCTGAATCTGTTCAATAAAAATAATTTTTATTGATGATGGTTATTTTGAACAAAAATCTGTTCAATTATGAATGTTCATAGAATTCTTTTTTGAATTGTCAATGTATTTGGAAAAGGAGAAGTTGGCTCACTCCATATCGATCTGATAAAAACAAACATCGGTATATGAATGGGCTTTGGGAAGACAATTCTAAAATTATAGCAAGGTGGAACAAATGAGTATTTTTCACATTGTTAATTAGAATAATATTGTATAAATATTAGGCAAGATGGATGGCATACAAGTTAACCAGCAAACAGTAAGAAACTGAAGAATCTCAAAATTAGGCTGTACCATAAAAACTGCCATCTTCATTTTAGTTTAGTTCTAAAGAGAAATTATAAAAGTGAATAAATTAACAACACTAGATACTTCAGGAGAGATGGTTTGGTGTACTGATTAAGTGCCAGGCTAGAAATCAGGAAACTGTAAATTCTAGTTCCATCTTTAGCACAAAGCTAGCTTGGTAACTCTAAATAAGTCAGTCTCTATCAGCCTTAGGAAGGAGCCAATGGCAAGCCATTTTTGAAATCTTTCCAAGAAAACTGCAGGGACTTGTCCAAGGCTATTTTATATAATATTGGTGAGAATTTAAAGAGTGTTGTTTATATCTTTGGTCAATCAAATTGTTATTCTTTTATAGGAAGCTGCACGTTAGATGAAATCACTCATACATCACCTGATCTTCACAAATATTGGTAAGGATGTATTTGATTTCAACCTATACTATTTTTTTTTTTTTAAAAAAAAGGATAGCCATTTTTTGAGCTTTGATTTTCCATTGTGGGTTCACATCTTTTTCTGTATGTGATCTATAATGAAGTGAATCTTTAAATGGGAAACAATTAAGGGAATTATTTGACTGCTCTGGAAAGTAATTGCTGGGGCAAATGGCACTATCAGAAGATCAGTAGTATAAGTGGGGTACCTCAGGTTACATTATGCAAACAAACAATTGCTAGTAAGAATAGCTCTTTTGAAACCAGACTTAATAGAAGAAACTGTGAGAGGGATCTTTTAGTGGACAATCAATTAAATGTGAGCCAACAGTGTGTGGTGGCAGCCAAAAAAGCCAATGCAGTCCTAAGTTGCATTAACAGAGGGATTCAATCAAGATCACGTGAGGTACTAATACCACTCGATAAAGCCTTAGTAAGACCACACCTAGAATACTGCAACCAGTTTTGGTCTCCACACTATAAAAAGATGTTGACACTCTAGAAAAAGTGCAGAGAAGAGCAACAAAGATGATTAGGGGACTGGAGGCTAAAACATATAAGGAACGGTTACAGGAACTGGGCATGGCTAGTCTAGTGAAGAAAAGGACCAGGGGAGACATGATACTGTGTTTCCCTGAAAGTAAGACATTCCCTGAAAATAAGCTTTAGTTTGGGGGCGAGGCGCACCCCTAAAAATCAAGTTAGGATGGGGGTGGTGGTGGTGGTGGAGCTTACCATTACAACCAGGCCTCCCATGGATCAACACTTGCCTCGCTGGAAGGAGCAGCTTTCTTCTGTAGCTGAGAATGGAGCTCGGTCTGCATTTTATAGTCAGAGGCCTTTCCAGAAGGCTGACTGCGAAATGCAGGCCTGAGTTCCATTCTCAGTTGCAGAATGAAGCTGCTCCTTCAGCTGCAGAAGAAGTGGGCCGTCTGGGCGGGGTTGTTGGTGCTGCTGCTGTGAGGTGAGTGGAAAAGACACCACCTTCCCGAAAATAAGACCTGGTGCCTCTTTTGGAGGCATAAATAAATAAGACCGGGTCTTATTTTGGGGGAAACAGGGTAGCAGTGTTCCAATATTTGAGGGGCTGTCACAGAGAGGAGGGGGGTCAACCTATTTTTCAAAGCACCTGAAGGCTAGACAAGGAATAACAGATGGAAATTGATCAAGGGGAGATTCAACCTAGAAATAAGGAGAAATTTTCTGACAGTGAGAACAATCAGTCAATGGAACAGTTTGCCTTCAGATGTTGTGGGAGCTTCATAATTGGAAGCTTTCAAAAAAAAACTGGACTGCCATCTGTCAGAAATGGTGTAGAGTCTCCTGCTTGGGGGGAGGGTTGGATTAGATGACCTACAAGATCCCTTCCAACTCTGTTAGTCTAATTATTCTAATACTTTCTTGTTTTTCTGTGTAAGCAGTGGATTCCTGTCATTTGTTTTCTTTCTTCTGTAACATTTTAAAAGAATAATTAAGAAAACAGTTTGAATAATCATGAGTGCATTAACACGGGCCAGATAAAATCCTCTGTCGTCCGCATTCACATAAAAAAATTACGTCTGCCATGTAATCAAAGCACATTGTTTCTGAACAAAACTCAAATGAGTCTGCCAAATGTAACGCCTTGTTTGCTATGTTAGTACTTTTCTAAGGTACTTTAAAACTACAGAAAATAATCATTTTGATTTGCTATTGATTTATATTGTTATAGAGCACACGGTTTTGCCAATAGAATAACCTCTCTTTGTTTTCATGTTCTTTTCCTTGAGAGCCAGTCACCTGTGCTAGGGCAAGGTACATTCTGCTTTATACTAAAATAAACCCTGGGAATCTTAAGAACGCTTAGCTGCATCTGTCCTTGGCTGAAATGTAAATTGTGATTTATGCTGTGGCCAGGCCTGAAAGTACATGATACTGCTTTTAATCAATAAATGTTCCTGCAACCCATAATTTGAACACTGTAAAAGAACAATTTAACATTTATTTCTTTGGGTTAAATAAATTGAACTAAGAATTGTGATTTCTCAGAGTTTGCAGTCATAAAATGATAGTCCTGCTCTTTTTAATATAAGTAACAAACGGCCAGTAGGTCTTTAAAGTAGGTAGATGAAGCATGTGTGAGGAGAAGAATGAAAATGTGCATGGGTGTGTTTGATTTTGTATGTCTCTGTTTATGCTTATTTTATAGGGGAGCCCATTTGGTAAATCTTTTCCTTAGGCTTTGAGGTGTATAATTCAGTGATTATCATTCCTGTAATAACTTCAGTCATGTAATTGCCAATCAGTACTGGAAAAGTCTCAACGTTTCAACACTACACAGCTAAATTATACTTATCCATATTGCTACTCATTTGGAAGGGGGGGGAATAAGCAGTATTATACGAAGAACAAAAAAACAAATGTAATACCATGTAAAAAAGTAAGACATTAGGTAATAAAATGAATGAAATGTAGTTGAATAGAGATCATACTGACATGGTATGCTATGTCTCTCTATTCTTTTCTTTCCATTCAATTCACTCTTGTTTTCTTTGTTCCTATATACTTTGGTTGGTTATATATTTCTACTTCGAAATTTAGATACCATGCATACAGATAATTAAGAAAAACAAGCTTACTATACCAAGCATGATACTACTGTAGAGTCACAGCTGAGATTTCATGGCCTATGTTAATTACAGTTTTTGCATTTCAGGGATGTACACATTGCAAAAATGATTCAGAAGTGCTTCAGGTATCATTTGAATGCCTTTGTGATGTTCATTAAAGCAGTGTGACTTTAATAATTGATTGCCAGTTGACCAGGCTTACAATTCCTTCTCATGATAATTAAAATTAAACTACATAATGCGGCAACAAAATAATCAATGGAATACAACCCTCATAACAACTTATATAAGTGGATTTCTTAAACCAGCATCATTTCGGCAGACACACATAATTCCCAAAAAGTGAGATTGCTTTCACGAATAGCAGAGAGGGGCTACATTTGTTCTGGGTTTGAAGCATTCCTCTGAATCCTTTTTGATGCATGCACTGCTTTAATGTGCATTAACTGTTAAATTGCAGATTTATTTTAGAAATGCATGCATGATAGTTTATTTAAAGTATATTATTTTTTCCTTATCTTTCCTCTATGATAGTGTGTTGCAGTATGTTATTCTGATTTCTATCTTATTGTATTTTTTTATCTGAAAGCATAAATTGGCAATGATGTCATATTTTGGGCTCAGTATTGCTTAATCATGGACATGCTTTTCCATCTCCTTTTTTAAATTATCACAATATGCAATTTTTTTTAAAAAACGCTCTTCTTGAGCATAGCTCCCACTTACAGTCGGTTTTTTACTTTATTCATTTTTTTAGTGCTCATTCCATTTCATGGCTGGTTAACTAGTACAAAGGTAGCTGACCTTACTGTTAACTTCTGCTTTTAAGGGGCATCATTTCTCTTCATTATAGTTCTCAGTAATCATTTGTTCTTATCCCCAGAGGTTTTTCTCTGTAATTGCTTCTACTTTGATGTTCACACAATCAATAATTCTACCTCCTACAGTTAACACAAAGCGCAGCTCTGAAGTTTCGCATTGTATTACATGTGAATTATTTTATTGTCTTCTCTCCCCCTACAACAGGTATAATGCACTATGGATAAACTATTGATTGCTGACCAATGTCTTCAACATCTGGGGATTTTGACTGCCTATCTTTAGGAGAAAAATACTTTGGCAATGAATGTCAGGGCATGTGGTATGAGCCATAGGACAACATGCACTCCGCACAGGCCTGGGATGGTAAATGTGCAGCAGTACCCATCTATTAAACTGCATATAGAAGCTCCTTCTGTTTCTTCTAATAGTAGCACCCCGGGCCCTCCTATTGGAAACCTATTGACCCCCTCACATTTAAAGACATCTCTTGGAGGAGGTGTGGCTCATCAGAGCAATGCCGTTGACTGTAATATTCACTTTCCTGCTTTAAGTCCAAAGAGACAAATGGTTACAAATGGAAAGTCTTTATTCCACGTCCCGCAACCTCCAGGGGTAACAACTCCACAGTTTTTGAAGCCAAAGGAGCAAGAATTTGGAAATAAGTTTACCACAAGCACAGTAAAAGGTAGGAGTCATTTTAATAAACATGTTTCATTTTGTTTTCTTACACACTTGCTATTATAAGTGTATGCTTCCATGCTATCAGGACCTTTTAAACATTGCAAAGATGTTTTTCTGCAAGCAATATAAAGAATGCACGAGGAGAATTCTCAGTACCACATAATTCTACTTTCAGTAATATAAGTAAAGGTCAAAGTGATTCCAATAGTGGTAAGGAGCACTCAGGGTTGTGACTTTTAAGCTGGTAGAGTGGTTCCAAAAGATCCCAGGAACAACATCAGAGTTCTCTGTTGGGAAGAGTGCAGTGCTAGGAACAACTGAGAACCCTCAAAATCCCAGGCCTCAGGTAGAGGACCTGAGATTGAGAAAGACACAGACCATCCATAAGGGTGAGAAGAGAATTTATATTTATTAAGAGGGGCAATTATTTGTGGCCAAGAGTTGCACTTTGTATTGTTACTATTTAGTTGCCTGCAGCACCGCCCGTGTAACTAGCAAATTCATAATGTCAACAGGGTGATTTGAGTTAACATTTTGGATCCATTTGAGAGATTTGGTGGTTCATATTTGAGGGAATTTAGGAATTTTTAAAGCTCCTTCAAAGCAAAAATGATAATTATTGCTAAGGTAAAATAGACGTTTCAAGGTTCTGCAAAGTGACTCTGAATGGTCAGTGAAGTTCAGGCCAAGTGTCAGATTAGCTATCTTGGTCTTGATATACCACCATATTAATATTAATTCACCTTCATTGGTTTTGTATTGGTGTTATTACTCACTTTCCTTGATGTATTGGTTTAAAGTAACATCTTTTGATTTATAGTTCACAGACTTAGAAGGAACCATCTAGGTCAGTGAGTTCAAACCCCTACTCATTGCAGGTTCTTATGGGTCTAGTTTGTTAACTTTATCTTGCACAAGTGTCTTGGCAGGATAGAAAAGGAAACTATTTTCTGTCTTGATTACTAAGCAAGTAGCTTCCTTACTTTGTTCTTTTTTGGATTTTGGTAAAAGCCTAATATACATGTGTTAAACTCACATGCCAGAAAGTGTTTTATCTATTCAGTCTTAGATTGGGTCTAGGACAATTCAGTGCGGCCAGCTTGGCGTGGCCAGCTTAGTGCCACCAGCTTGCCACTGCCAAGATACCTGTACCAACCACTGCTGCCAAGTCACTGCAGGAGAACTCCACACAGCCAACTCACCATGGGGACAACTTGCAAACAGCTGGAGGGAGACCCTTGTGGGCAGGCGAGTGAGCGGGTGGGCAGAGTGCAGAGCGGCAGCAGTGGCCTCGTCCCATTTTTCACATCTGCTGCTGCCATCATTTCAGATGCTTCAGCCTAGAGCTCAGCATGGTGGTAGCAGCAGTGGAGTATGTGAAAATGGGATGCCCCCAGTTGCCACCGCTTCCCCTGCCACCTGCCCCACCCACTGCTAAGGCTGCCACCATCCCTGGCCTTGGTCTGGAGCTAGGCAGCAATGGTGACAATGGCAGGGGGTATGAAAATGGGAAGCCCCCAGCTGTCGCCACTGCTCTGTACTCAGTCCACTCACTTGCTCGCCCACCCTACTATCCCTCCAGTTGTCCTCGCAGTGAGTTGGCAATGTGAAGTTGTCCTGTGGCAACTTGGCAGTGGTGAGTTGGCAGAGACAACTTTGGGGTGATGAGCTGGTGGCAGTGACCTGGCTGTGTTGAGCTGACCACACTTGAATTGTCTCATTTTGGTTAGGATTGTTCGGTTCTACTCTTGTTTTAATGTCACTTAAGTATTAGTTTCTACACTTGCTTATATGTAATAATGCATTAAAATATCCCTTATCCATATATTAGCTTCTCGTATCTATATTTTTTTGCTTCTGAATATAAACATCCCAATAAGCCTACAACATACTATTGTAGTAGACTTGTAGTCAACAAAAATATATCATGAACAGTTATAAATATATTTTAGTTTGCACATTCACTCAGTATATTGCTACCAAAGTTTCATTACTTGTAGAAGCTGTAGGATTGAATGGTTGATAAAATGGGCATGAAATTAATTTTAAGTGAGAATGACCTTTTTAATTCTGGTTCATTAATCCCCATTCAATTTTGAAGAAGTTGAAAATACTAACAATTTTATATATCACATAGACATTTATACCTGACTGATCACAATTATGTGTTCAGGTTTTATTTAACTGATTCTTATGAACCTAATCAAAGAGTTGTGTGGAAAAAAATGAAGTGACCCTCATATAAGCCTTCTTGAGCTGTTAGAGGAAAAGTAGGATAGAAATCTAACAAATTGAATAACAAATGACTAAATTAAAATGGTTGAGGAGGATTGTTGTAATTCTAAAATACTGCCTGCATAATGTTGCAAATCAAGGATCATTATTCCTGGCCTCAGTATAGGGAAGTAGCAGAAGGTTGAGTGAAATGGAGAATATATCCTGCTTCTAAAATGTAGAATTGTTTTCTTTATAAAGGGATATTTTCCTCAGTTGATTAAAATTGCTGCCTATTAAAAATATCAAAACCACATAGCCAGAACATACTTAGTCCAAGTGGCAATTATTTTTTGACATACTCACAGCTCATGTGGCCATTTGCAATTAACCACAGCACAGATATATTTTTGAAATATATTTGTTTTCCCTGTTGTATTCCCATAATAATGCTTTTGTCTTGTCCCCATCATTTGTGGCATAAGTTAACTTTAATTATAATAGTAGTTAGTATATTTGGCTTATTTTAACACCGTCGAAGTGTAGTTTATAATATATAATATATATTATTTCAGAATTTTTCTTCCTGCTACGATAGGGATTGGAGAGCTGGCTAGCATTGCCTATTCGGAAAGCATTCTTCTCTTTTCCAACTTAAGTAATCTTTGTAAAATTTATGCCACCATTTGGTATTCATAGCCACTGTACTTTTAATGCAAATCAAGAATATACTGGGTGAAGTTAACTCCTCCTCCTCCTCCATGGCAAAAGGGGAGATTTTTAAAAACTATTGATAACAGTGAATTAAGGGCCTTTTAGATTTTTTTAAAAAGTCCTGTTTGTTCTGTAAGAATATATATGGAAATAAACAAAGATTTTTGTTGTCCAAGACAAGGCAACTTATTTTGGGGACAATTCAGACGTGTAATTGTGTTTGGAGATGTACTTATTTTGGGCTTTCTATGTGTATTTTTGATTTGAAGACTATAGTCTTGACTACAATCCTAGCAGTAACTTCTTGTAATCTATTATTGGTGGAAATTTGGAACAGATAATGAGAAGTTTTTTTCTTCTTCACACTTCAGTTGAGATGGACAAGCCTGAACAGGAACAATTGTACAGCTTTGGTTAATATTATATTACCTATTGCATGTTAAATCCTGATTGTGCAATGATTGTGTATGATGAACTATAAATATGTTTCACCAAACTCAAGGTATGCATATAAATTCATATTTTTCAGTACAATTAAAATAACATGGGATATTACTTCAAACAGGATTTTTGCATTTTTCCTGGTTAATATTGAACAACTCTATTAGATGCATGGATCCCAATATTATTACAAGTTCTAGTCTTATACTAGCAGTTGGTGCATTGTTGTTCAAATAATATCATTATTTTTCTGTAATCATTATAATCTAAGCTAAGAGTGGGAAAGCATTTTTTTCTTCTTATTTCCCTTTTTAAATAGCGATTAATTAGGACTACATTCTGATAGTCAGGAGAGCCAAAATTGGGCACCAGCACTCATTTCTATAGAAGAGCCAAGCAAAGCCAGCTTAGGACTGAAAAAGGAGTTTTATATACTTTATAGCAAAGGTCTGCAATTCCTTGCCGTCTAGTTGCATATGCCCAATACTTCATTTGTGCTCACAGTATCTTTAACCCTCCCTCTTGCTTGACTGACAGGTCAAAGTCTTTTGGACTGTTGTTGTTTTATCATGATTTTCTCTTTCTATGTGAAATGAGGGGCAAAATTTTGCTCCTCAAAGTCTAGGAAAAAAATTAAAATGTACAGAATGAAAAGAAGTTGATATTACTCTGTCTAGTGATGTCACATGACCCTCAGGTAAAAAGATTGCCTACTTTGTTCTATATATTACAGAACTTTAATTTTATTTCTATGTAAACCCTGTCTTTCCATAAATCCTGTCTTTCTTCTCATTAATGTTTTAAAGTGCATGTTCTAGAAATGTGTAATAATTACAGCATTCCCTGGTAAGAGGTTTCTTTCAGCTCAGAATATGATTCATATGTAGAATTACTTTATTGCTGGTGGTATTTTAGGCTTTTGATAATTTGTTATGAGCAAATGGATGGTGAAATGAGTGAAGATATGGAGAACTTTCCAGAGAAGTTCCTTCATCTCACTGCCCATTCCACTCGAAGTGCTGCGACTTCGGCAGCATGGGTTACCCAGGCGTCCATCGAGATTTGTAGGGCCGCGACATGGTCCTCGCCTTCCCCATTTGTACGCCATTACAAGATCGACGATTTTGCTTTGGCAGACGCCTCCTTTGGTACGAGGGTCCTCCAGCAAGTGGTCTCAGAGGACACTATTCCGGCCTTATCTGTCTCCCACCTATCGGGACAGTGAGGCTTTGGTATGTCCCATCGGTGGATTCTCCATCTCCTGTACTGGAGAAGGGGCGTTGGTCTTACCTGAACGCCTTTTCTCAGTATGGAGATGGAGAATCCACACCCATCCTTAGGTCAGTTAGGCCGTTACTAGGGAACTAAGAGCCAACACCTCGTCAATCTTCAGCCACTTTGCCATCGTTAAGAATGGACCCTCCAGCAAAGGGGGCGTGTTAAGTTTTGGCTACTTGGTCTCAAGAGCAGGCAGACAGAGAAAACCCATCGGTGGATTCTCCATCTCCATACTGAGAAAAGGCATTCAGGTAAGACCAACGCCCCTTCTTTAGGATTTCCAAAGTATTGTGTTGATGGTTGGCAGCAGTAGAAGAAGCTTTGTTAGCAGAGGAAATTTTTAACAAAGATTTCAAT